AATTCTACCCAGGCCTGGTAGCAGAGGCCTGTAGTCTCAACACTCTGGGAAGCTGAGGCAGGAGAATCCAAGTTTGAGCCCAGCCTGGGCAATTTAGCAATTTAGTGAGACCCTGTCTCAAAATAAAATTTTTTTAAAAGGGGTGAGGATGTAGCTCAGTGTAAAGGCCCTGGGTTGAATCCCCAGTAGTTGGTGGGTGGTAGTGAGATGCCATGGAAGTCTGAGGAAGGTCAGGAAGATTCAGGAGGTTGGTCAGAGTGGTCTTTGGGCTCCTCTTGGCAGCTTGGTCCTGGCGTGGGGCTCTGGGAAGAGGCATTTAGCACCCTGCAGGTACCCTGCTCACGCTGGTAGGGAGAGGGGGTGGCTGGAGCAGAGCTCACTGCTGCTAAGGCCACCCCACCGCCAGGTGGTCAGGTCCAGCATGGCTGTCCACAGCCCAGCCACCTGAGGGCGATCCTGGGTCCAATGCAGCTCTGAGTTCCACAGGAAGTCTGTAATCCTATCTTTGTAAGAAATTTCATTTTAGTCATTAAACATAAAAATGCAAGACAATGAGATGGATACCAAAAATATCCTTAATGGGGCCAGGGATTTAGCTCAGTGGTTTTGCCACCTGCTGCGCAAGCACAAGGACATGAGTTCAATCCCCGGTACCAAAAAAAAATATATCCTTAAAATATCCTTAATGGTTATATCCTACACTGGGATTATGGAGAATTTTTAAATTTTCTCCATTATCAACTGTAGATTTCAGACTTTTTCACAATGTGTAATTTATACGCTGACAAAAAGACCAGAACATGATGAGTTGATATATTTTGTCCCCCTCCTTCCTTTGATTCCATGCATATTATGCCACCTTCTGGCCAGAATGTGGCTTTTCATGTATGCATCAGGGTCAAAGACCGTTAAATGGTGACCAGGTACAATTTCCACCACTATTTCGTGGTCCTTGTCCCCGATGCCTACACAAAAAGCCCTATTGTGACCCGAAGTGGCATAATACGTTTCCTCCACCTGCCTGCCATGGGGGTCCCATCCTGAGTTGATGGACAGTGAGTGGGCTTTACCTACAAGGTGCCTGAACCCCACTCCCCTGTACAATAAGACAGCTCCAAATGGGAAGAAAGCAGAGAGGAGCAAGAGAGGTGAGCTTTGCCCTGGGCAGTGGGGCTCAGCAGAGGGAGGACTTCATAGAGGGGATTGGCAGGAAGTTACTCTAGGTACCTCGTCAGTGTCCTTGGTGTTCTCAAGTAACGACCTTGCAAATCTTCAAGGTTCTTTGAAAAAGGATCTCAGATGTGATGCTCTGAGACCACGACATTTGAGGAGAGCAGGGAGGCCCAAATTTCTTTGCCATGCTGTGGTTCCCCACACAAAGGAGGGATTCTGCTCAGTTCCTTGGCTCAGATTCTCCCCAAATGACCGAGCAGACTCACACCTCAGTCTCTCAGGAGTTGCTATTGGTGGAGATCTATCTGGAGAGGTTGATGGGAAAACAGAATATCTAGTCTTGCAAGGCTGAAGACCAAATTCTATAAAGGTTACCCACCAAGATGCTCTCCCCTCCATGGTCCTCCCCAAGCACAGATAATGCCTTCATGTGTTCTTTCATCAGACAAGCATTTATGTTGTGTGCTGGTACTAGGCTCAGAGCTAAAGATACAGAGATCAGAAGAAACAACAGAAGCCCAGCCTTCATGGAGCTTATAACCTAAGGAGTGAAAAGGAAGACAGATGTGAGTCAAATAGCATCATAAACGAATATAGAGCTTGTGTGTCACAGCAGTAGAGGTCGACATGGTGCCTTGAGGGATTACAGTAGAGGTTCTGGACCCAGCAGGGAGCATACGTAGTTCTGGGGGTGAAGAAGGGAAAGAAATGTGCTCCAGGCAGCCTTTGCAGCAGCCAAGGGAAGAAAGGACCCAAAAAGGACCCCAGGAACTGAAGCAGAAAGGAGGTGGGAGAGGTGGAAGAGCAGCAGGCAGGAAAAGGGGCCGCAGACCCAGTGCCACAGGACAGGGGTTCCCAGGGCTTATATCTGGGTGCTTGGTGTCCCAAACAAAGAACTGGACAAGACACACAGAAAAGGCAATTAGACTGCACATTTACTGAAGGCGGAAAGAAAGTATGGTCGGCAGGGTGAGAGCAGGCCGGTGAATAAAGGGAAAGGGGTCTCCAGTATCCTAAATCCCAGGGGTTGTCCTTCACCTCTTGCAAATAAGGCATCTCTCAAAGCTCACTTGGCTTCTTGGCTGAGGTAAAATGAAGGATCAGGAACAGAGTCTTTTGATTTGTTATGCCCATATGTAGGTGAAGGACTGAAAATAGCATCTTCTGATTGGTCCTGTGAACAGAGCCATAATCAAATGAAAGCTTGAGAATATGGCTTTCTGATTGGTTCTGTGTACAGTGCTGGAGTCATAAACTGAAGTCATTTTGGGTCCAGTATTGTGCATGTCTCTCTCTCTCTTTTTTTTTTTTTTTTTTGAGAAATATCTCCTTCAACCCATTATTCTTTTTTTTCTGACCTTTGACACATTCCACCCCATTAGTTATCTGGTTTGCCCTAGCCTTAATCTCTTACCTCACCAGGACATGAACACATTTACATTTTTAAAAGACAACTGTGGCCAGAGTTGATCTGGGGAGCAATGTAAGAAGTATTACTCCACCCCAATAGCGGGTTTACATCCAAAGAAATCTTCACTCCTGCCAGGAAGGGACAAGCATAAGGTTGGTTCCTGTGGTACTGTTTATGGTAGCCAGTAGTTGGAGGCAATTTCGAGAGTGTTTATGGGGGTCCAAATAACTAAAATGTGAGTGCTCACCTCAAAATACTGCAGACTTATGCTAAGCCACAAATTAGATGTACACACAGGACGGGTCTTTCTGAGCCATGCTATGTTGCCCAGGATGGCTTTGAACTCCAGGGTTCAAGTGATCCTCCCACTTCAGCCTCCCTAGTGGTTCAAACTACAGGTGTGTCACACAATGCTCAACTGTCATAGTTTCCCATCATGAGACAAAATACACAACACCTCCAACACAGAGGAGGAGAGTTTTATTTTGCGAGGGAGGTGGTGGAACCACTGAGCTAAATCTCTGGCCCAGGAGAGGTTTATTTTGGCTCACATTTTCAGTCTATGATTGGCTGGTTCCGAAGTATAAAGAGCATGCATGGTGTTAGGGCCTGTTGGAGGAAAGTTGTTCACCCCGCAGCATCCAGGAAGCAGAGAGAGAAGGGAGGAGCTGGGGACAAGAATATACTTTTCCAGGTCATGCCTCTAGTGATCTATCTCTTACCAAACCCCATCTCCTCACTGCACATTCAGTTACTGAACTCATCAATGGACAAATCCACTGATGAGTATAGCAACCACGACCCAATCACCCTTTAAAAACATGAGACTTGGGGGAACTTTTTAGATCTAAACCATAACACCAAATAAACACTTTTAAAGCTGGGGATGCTGGTGCACACCTGTAATTCCAGTACTTAAGAGGCTGAGGCAGGAGGATTACCAATAAGTTCAAAGCTAACCTGGGTTACATAGTTCAAGACCAGCCTAAACTATAGAGAGAAATCCTGTTTCAAAACAAAAACATGGGGCTGGGGATTTAGCTCAGCGGTTTCGCCGCCTACTGTACAAGCACAAGGACCCGAGTTAGATCCCCGGTACCAAAAACAAAACAAAACAAAACAAAAAACAAAAAACATGACCACAAAAATAACCAAAAACAAAAAAAACCCCATATATTTTTTATTAGTATGTTTGCCAAAAACTCACTACTTAAAAAAAATTAATGTCTCCTTTAGAAAATAAGGAATAAAAGATAAATTTTATAAATAACTGTGAGCCCCAAATCTCTCCTGGTGAGCAAATGCAGTGGATGTTTACACTCAGAAGAGACAGCTCCTGCGAACTTTTTGTTTTTTTGTACCGGGGATTGAACTCGGGACCTTGCGCTTGCAAGTCCTGAGAACTTTGTGTGAAATTTGTGAAATTCCTCATAGCCTAATAGTCACAAAAGCAAGATGTAGAATTGAGACTGGATGGATGGTTGGCCTTTCAATGTGCTAGAGACCAGAGAATGTAAGTGCAATGGGGGGAAAAAAAAGTGCACTAATATTTGGGCTGAAATAGTTTCAGTGTTGAAGTTTGAGAATCTCTATTACATAGAAAAGTACCGATAGCCTATTATATGCCAGGCACTGTGCTAGATACTGAGAATACCTAGAACAAAAATCCTTGACTTGCAAGTTTATCAAATACTCAACAAACAAGTACACAATTGTAGGTTTTTATAGGGGTTACATAAAAATTACAAGGAATTCGCTTTCAATAGACACTATTCTAACTAAATGTTTGCATGTCCACGTCCTTAATTTCCTTGTAAGATTGTGTAAAAGTGTAATTCTGGGTCTAAAGATGTGCTTACTTACAATTTACTTCCAATTTTTATAAAATAGACTTTTTTTCACTTTATTAGCACGTTTGTAATTCATTCAGTTTACAATTATCTTGGGGAGTGGTTACATGTACATAAAATAGGCTTTATTTAGAGCAGTTTTAGGTTTTTGGCAAAGTTGAGCTGAAAGTACATAGGTCTCAAATACCCCTGGGGGGGGGGCCTCTTCCCCTTATCAACAAGCAACTGCTTTTAAATCCATTTCTCCTTTGCTCTATCAGAATTCAGTGAGGCACAGGAAGTAACAACTACACTTCCCAGCAGGCAGCGCAACACGGCAACGCGCGCATGCGTAAAGACGTCCGCCACGCTAGCCCAAGCTTATAAAAGGGGAAAAAAATTGTGTGGTTCTCGGCGGGCCGCGAATCTTCGAACGGAAGTGGATTGCCATTCGCGGACTGAGAAAGCGTTCGAGGACGCGGCTGCTCCCGCCGTCTCAACTGCCAGCGAGACGCGCTTCTTTCACCTGGGATTCTGTGGGTGAGGCTGGGCCGTGGCTTGGGACGTCGGGAGAAACGGGAACGGAGGGCTGCTACCTTCCCTCCAGGCCCACGTTCCGCCTTAGCTGGAGGCGTCGGTTGGCTCCGCGCGCATGCGCACGCGCCTTGGGCGGCCCGGGGAGGGGCTCGGGAGGCCTGGGCCGTCCTACTGGGGGAGTGCGCTTGCGCCCTTCGACCCGGGCGGGACGTTCAGCTGGTGCTGGAAGACCTGCAGTCAGGATGAGCCCGGATCGCCGCTTTTTACTGCCTGCACAGGGATTAACACCTTCTAAAAGAAAAGAAAGCCGACGTGGCGGCGCACGCCTGTAATCGCAGCCATAGGGAGACTGAGGCAGGAGGATTGCGAGTTTTAAGTCGGCCTAGGCAACTCGGCAGTTTAGCAAGAGCCTGTCCAAAAAAAGAGCGGGGGGTCGTTTTCTGAGTTCAGTCTCCAGTACCGCCAAAAATAAAACAAAAGTAGAAGTGCCCATCTTAAGAACCTCGGCCGGGGATTTAGCTCAGTGGCACCGCACCTATCTCGCAAGCGCAAGGTCCTGAGTTCGATCCCCGATAGCGGGGGGAAAAAAATTCATCAAAGAACAGAACAACAGCATTCACCCTCTAGCCACCCCCAGTTACTTCTCATTTGTCTGCTCCCGTTTGCAGCCGAAGTCTTCAGTGTGTACCCATTAGAGCTTTTCCCATAACGAGTCTTCAGCCCACTCCGGGTCGGCCTCGGTCCCCACTTCCCCCGCTGAAACAGCTCTGCTGAAGCTGCTAATGATGTTTGGGTCGCCAAGTTAAGTGTTCAGTTCTTGTCCCGCAGCAAGATTTGATGCAGCTCTCGAAATGCCTGCCTATGGCTTGCTGACTGTCCTCTTCCTTTGCCTCTGGCTTCTCGCAATGAGTCTTGCTCCTTTTCTTGATTTTTAATAGCTGTACTACCCGAAGGCTTAACCCTAGGGGGCTTCTTTGTCTCTATTCAATCCCTAGGCATTACCCATTTTATACTGTAAATATAAATACCATTCATTGTGCTGCTAACTCAGATTTCTATCTTCTACCTTGAACTCTAGATTCATAAAGTTCAGCCCTGACGTAACACCTCTTAGGTGTCTACTTGGCATTTTGATTGGGTTTATCACGGAAATTTTGAGTTTTATCCTTCACACACCATGCCTTCTCATATCTTCCTATTCTTCCAGTATCTCAGGCCACAAACCTTGAGGTATTCATGATGTGTTTTGCTCTCTTTCCCTTCTCCACCAACCTGTTAGCAACCTACTTATCCTTGAGGTTCTGAAGTCCTGCTTCTGGATGTCTGAGTGTTGTCTTTGACACTCCCCAAGTTCTTTCTGCTTGAGAATTTGTTTCAGTTTTTTGACATTCTCTGTCATTATTCAGATTTATTTATCCTTTGTCTCCTGTCATGCTTATTGCACCTAAGAATAAGAATATGGAACAGTAATCGTTTGTCGCTTGCAACAACCCTGCACAGTGTGTTAACCACTAAATGCTGGAGGTGATTGTCACAAAATGGTATTTGTACGTCTAGATACAGAAAAGGTACAGTAAAAATAATAAGTGATACTTATGGGACCACCATTATATATCTGCCTGTTGTTGACGAATGTCATTATGCCGTGGTTCTATTTAATGCCTGCTTTCCTTTCTGAACTGTTTCCTAAGAGGCAGAACCTGTTTATCTCATTGATTGCTGTATATCCCTCATGCCTGCCACGGAGTAGATGTTTAGTAAGTGTGATTGAATGAATAAATCTATAAAGGGGGAAGTATCTCTTCTGCATCTGTGGGAAATAGTCTCAGAGTATTTTGATAGAGACCAACTTTTTTTTTGGTGCTGGAAACTGAACCCAGGGTCTTTGCACTGAGCCTTTTTATTTTTCATTTTGCCCAGGCTGAACTCGAACTTGTGCCCCTCTTGCCTCAGCTCCCCAGAATGCTAGGATTACAGGACTGCGCCACCACACCTGGCTCCATGTATCTTTAGAAGAGGTGCAGTTGGACCCACAGTAGCCACTAACGGAGCTCTCTTCTGCTCCCTCTCCCATCAAGCACCTCACACATTACCATGGCCCTGGTGTCTGCTGACTCCCGCATCGCAGAACTCCTCACGGAGCTCCATCAGCTGATCAAACAAACCCAGGTAAAATGCCACAGGCCTCACTCCTAGAGAGGAGCAAGGGCTGGATGCTGAGCCAGAGGCCTGCGCTCACAGAGACGGACCTGCAGGAACCGAGGTGATAGACAAAGGGCGAGAGAGGGGTGAGAAACAATGTGGAAAAAAGGACTGAGATGCATAATGGATGTTGGGCAATGGGAAGAAAGTGTCCAAATGGGAAGGGGAACAAGGGGTGGGGGGAAGGAAGGGTCAAGGAAAAAAGTGAATATAGAAGGAAAAATGGAAACAAAGCTTTTGTGCATGGGGGGAGGGGCTTGGGGGATGGGATAAAATAAAATTTACATTAAAAAAGAAGGGCAAAGGGAGGGGAATTTTAAGTATGACTACCATTCCTGTTATGTGCAGAATATCAGAATTCATTTTGTGTAGTATTTTGAAAGATAGTCCACATACCACACAATGCATCTATGTAAAGTATACAGTTCAGTGGCTTTTAGTATACTGTACTTCCCCCAAAACAAGACCTAGCTGGAAAAGAACCCCTACCATGATTTTCAGGATGCTCATAATATATGCCCTACCCCAAAATAAGCCCCAGTTCAGATCGTCAGCCAAATGGACGCATTTAATATGTCCATTGCAACACACAGACATATTGAATTATAAAATAATAATGTTAATACATAATTGAATGTAAATAAATAATATTATTGACATTCATACTTAAAATAAGTGGTAATATAAATTACAGTTAAGCATTTGTAAATATCCAAGTGGGCGCCATAGGATGAGAGGTAAACGCCTGTGTGAACAGATGAACTCGAGACTCATTGCCGAGTGACCAGTCACAGTACAGATACAACGCATGAATAACGTGCACACTTGATAAGGAGCAGACGTGGTTGTGTCTCCTATAAATCTTCATAATTCAGTACATTGTGTGTTGTAACAAGCAGGCCACAGGGACAGGAAGTGCTTGTTTAAGGACAGCTCTCTGGCTGGGCATGAGAGTTTGGGGCCAGTGGACCCATAGGAAATGGAGTCACAAGAAATTCAGGCTGATGGTGTGCAGGATTTGCCTGCACAAGCCTTTCCAACCCTACACTAAGCTTCACAAAATACAGGCTTTTCCTGGTCCACTCAGAAGTAGTTTTATCACTTCAAGTGAAATAGAGATATTTTACAAACAACAACAAAAAAGAAAAGAGAGATTAGAAGAATAATTACCATATTTTATTTTAGAGGGCATTGGCCCCTAACATTTCTTCACTGTGATTCACAAGTTCCTCAGAAGCCCCTAAATCCAGTGAAACTTAACAAAACCTCCAAATTTCTCACCAAAGGTTTCCAACCAAAAATATTACTGATAACCTTTGTTATGAGTTGAGTTAATGAAAGTAGCCAATATTTATGAGACATACTAAATGTAAGACGTCTGCTAAGCATGTAATATAAAGAAGTGCCTGAGTGTTGCTGCTTCCCTGGGGAGCCTAGGAAACTACTGCATGAAAAATTAAACAGTAAAAGTCACATTTTTAATCCATGAAAAAAAAAGGTTCAGGCTGGAATTCCGGGTTTGGAGAGTTATGACTGTATTTAAATAAACGTAGGGCTGGGGATTTAGCTCAGTGGTTTCACCGCCTGCTGCGCAAGCGCAAGGACCCGAGTTCGATCCCCAGTACCAAATAAATAAATAAATGTATGTATGTATGTAGATTTTTTTGTACCTGAATAAATGTAAATTATTATACATGAAAAAATAAGACAGCCCCTGAAAATAAGCCCTATTGTGTCTTTTGTAACAAAAATTAATATCAGACCTGGTCTTATTTTCGGGGAAATACGGTATTCACAGATCTGTGAAAGCATTATCACAATCAATTTCAGAACATTTTGTCACCTGACAGACATGTCCCACACCCATTAGCAGCCACTGCTGTTTTCTCTTACTCCATAAACAAAGACACTCTCGAGCAAAGAGCTGGTCAGAGACCAAACATTTATTTATTTATTTATTTTTGGTTTTTTGAGACATGTAGAAGGCTGGTATTGATTCACTATGTAGATCAGGCTGGCTTTGAACTCATGAAACTGCTTTGCAGGTGTGGTGGTACACACCTGTAATCCCAGCGCTTGGGAGGCTGAGGTAGGAGGATTGCTACAAGTTTGAGGCCAGCCTAGGCTACATAGCGAGACTGAGTCTCAAGAAACCAAAATAAATAAATCAATGAAACTACCAATTCACCCTCCAGAGCACCATCTAGCACATGTGACCAGAGCGCCCAGGTCTGCTGAGTTAATCCTGTGGTGCAGGTGGCTCATGCCTATAATCCCACCGCTCTGGCAGCTAAATGGAGAGGGTGGTGAGTTCAGAGCAGCTTGGACTATGTAAGAAATTCCAGGCCAGCCTGTTCTACAGAGTAAGACTTTGTCTTGAAAGAAAGAAAGCTATCCTATAAAGTCATTACATAGATTTTCATATTTTTCTGATTTGAGTAGTTTCCTTCACCTCTACCACTATTTGTATCTTAGGATAAATTTTTATAGAACTTTTAGCATACAGATTTTTTTTTTCCTGTACCAGGGATCGAACTCAGGACCTTGCGCTGGCCAGGCAGGCATGGTGCCACTGAGCTACATCCCGGGCTGCATAGAAATTACTGATGGGTAGCTAAATCCTGTCCTTCCTCAGGCCAGATGTTTCCCATCAGTATTGTGTTCTGAGCAGGATTACATTTGCTCATAAGTGTCAGCATTATTCATATGCCTTAAGGTAGTTAGTTGGATCTTACTAATAGTACCGGTATGCAGTGTCAAACTGAAGTATGGTCATGGTCAAATTCAATATCTGAACACAACAGATCAGAAAGAATTGCATAGTATTTGTTATGCCTATCTAACAAAATAAGCCCTTGCCTGTATATCATATATGACTTGGACAAGCATTATGCATTTTATAATTGGCTATGATTCACTTATTTCTGGCCTCCAGCTCTGTTGGGGGCAAAGCCAGCGGTCCCATCTCAGTTCATAGGATTCTACCAAGTTAGATTTCCACAAATTATGTAGCAGGGCTCACCCCCCTCCTATGGGGAGGACATAGGTGTTATTTAGAGTAATTCTTAGCCCTGCTCACTGTACTTCAGGATATTTCTTATTTTAATTTATTATTGGTTCAAGAACAGTGAAATTATACTGTAAATTACAAGTGTCCCTGGAGGTCTTCAGTGGGTTTGAGGTCCACAAGATTTGTATAGTGTGCCCTGTTATGGGAGGTATTGCCCCATGGCTGCTCTGGCCACTCTCCGTTCAGCAGCCAGGAGGCTCTGTGGGGCCAGAGTTCAGCGCTTTCCCAGCAAGGGATGCATGTTTTGCACCAGTTGCTCCATGCTAGGGTTAGATGAGTGGTAGTGACATCTAGAGGATACCACAGGATACTACAGCCTTCCTGGCTCTGTGTGGGGCCGTACCCCCAGGGAATTGGACCTACCAGGTATCATCTAGTAAATTTAGCAGAAACCTATTTTTTTTTTCTTTTGAAACAGGGTCTGGCTTTATAGATCAAGCTGCCCTTGAACTCACCAGGCTGGCCTTGAAACTCATTGTGATTTTCCTGCCTCAGCCTCCCAAGTGCTGTTATTATAGGCGTGTGATACCACACCTGGCCAGAAACCCTTCTTTCCCTGTTCTCTAAAATGGCTTTTCATTCACAGATATGGGGGTGAGAAGTCATGTGTAGCACACTGGTGTGTTGGACATGCCCCTGCTCTGGGACCTTTTTTCTTTTTTTGGTTGTTTTTTTTTTTTGAGGTCCTGTCTTTTTTTTTTTTTTTTTTTGTACCAGGGATTGAACTCTGGTCTTTGTGCTTGTGAGACAGGCACCAGAACTACTGAGCTAAATCCCTGGCCCTGTTTTGTTTTGGTTTTGTTTTTGTTTTTAGACAGGCTCTTGCTATGTAGTCCAGGGTGGCCTTGAATTCACTATGTAGCTCAGGCTGGCCTCAAACTTATGGTGATCCTCCTGCCTCAGCCCTCCAGTACTGGAATTACAGGTGTGCACCACCTGCCGGCCTCACTAGGAACCTTTCTAAGCAGTTGCTGGTCCGTGTGTGTAGTTGTACACTGGTTAGTTGGTAGCAGTTCTGCACCACAGTCTCATGGCCTAGCAACGGGTGTTTCCCAGAAATTCCTCCCTAAGTGATATCTTTGTAGTAGATGTAACCTGGAAAATAGGAGGATTCTGGCACACACATTGCTAAGTGAAATTCAGAACCCAGGCTGGAGGGTTGCATACTGTATGATTCATCCCAACCGTATGACATTTGGGAAAAGACAGAACTAAAGAGAATAAAAAGAGATCAGCTGTTGCTCGTGCCTTGGGAATGATGGGATAAGAGGGTAAATATGTGGAGCACAGAGAATTTTTTAGGGAGGTAGAACTATGGTGAAAGATACTGTAATGGTAGGTATATTAAACACATGGGACTGTACAATACAAAGGGAGCCTTAATATCAACTCTTGACTTTAGTAACAGTATGTAAGTTTTGTTGCATTGGTTTTAACAAGGGGTCCACACTAATATAAGGTGTGAGTAATCAGGGAAAGTACACGGAGGAGAGAAGGTAATGGGGATTTTCTGTATTCTCTGGTCAATTTTTATCTAAACTTCAAGTGGTTCTAAAAATAGTTTATTAAATAGAATTTAAAGGACTAAAAAGATGCAGGTACATCATTAGCATTCCATTCAGCTGTCAGCAGGTAGAACTAGGCATGGGGTCGTGTGCCTGTTACCTCAGCACTTGGAAGGCTGAGGCAGCAGAATCGCAAGTGAGTTCCACCTGGGCAGCTTAGCCCTCGCTCAAAATAAAAAGTGTTGGGGATGTAGCTCATTGTGAAGGTCCTGGGTTCAGTTCTCAGTACCATGAAACAAAACAAAACATACAAGCAGAATAAAGTCTAGTGTATCATCATCCCAGCTAACCAGCCTCCGAGGGAGGCCGCTCCACTTTGCCGGCCTCCATTTGTCCTTGTCCACTTCCAGGAGCAGCAGAGGTGTGGGGGCATTCCACCACCTGGTGAACCTGAACAAAGGGACACTATCATTCTCTTGCTCTGTTCTCTCTTAGGTTTTAATATGACACTGGACTTCTCTCAGTCCATCATGACCTGCTTGCTCATTTTTTTTTACCTTGGATATTTGTCCTTCGGCCATTTTTAATGATTTTACTCAACTTCTCCCCCTTTTGAGACACTGCTGGTCTGGAGTGCTGGCAGCAGTACCCTCTATCCAGAGCCCCACCCCAGGTCCATTCTTACTCGTGGGCTTAGGTTCCGCAGGTATGGGCCTGGGTTGTCTCTCCCACCAGGCCATGTGCTTTGTGCACTCTATCTGCTTCCCCAAGGCAATTAGCACAGAGGTATGTGTTAATGTCTGGACTCTCGATTCGGTTCTGTTGATCTATAATTTAGTTCCTCACCATCTTGATTACTGTAGCTTTGTAACAAATGTTGAGCCCGAAAAATATGAGTCTTTAACCTCACCTTTCTCTTGGAAGATTGGGCCAATGTGGGTCTCTGCACTTCCATCCACTGTAGGGTGAGCCTGTCAGCTCTGCAATGAAGTCAGCTGGAATTTTATGGGGACTCCATTAAATCTGTAGAGCGATTTGTCTTCTTTTGATGAAGGGTTGTCAAAAGGCATGAGTTAATGATTTAACTTCAATGGCTTCTTTTGCTTCAGTCAGGGAAAGAAAGTATCTTGGACTTGTCCTGAATTTGGGTTTGTGGGAGGGCTGCAGAGTACTGTGCAGGACAAAGGTCCGCCTCATGTTCCCTTGGCCTCATCCTCACAGGAGGAGCGTTCACGGAGCGAGCACAATTTAGTGAACATCCAGAAGACCCACGAGCGGATGCAGACAGAGAACAAAAGTGAGCAGTCGGGCTCAGAGAGGAGGAGGGTGGGGCGGGAGCGGCTGGGCCCAGGAGCGTGGCTGTTAGTTTGTGTCTGCATCTCCATGGCGCGCTGCCCCTCACTTCAGAGGGCAGTGATCCCTTGGGCTGTGACCTGAAGTGGTCCGGGAGATGGGGCGGACTCAGCACTGAAGACCCTCCGCTTCCCTCTGCTCTGGGGGCTGCGCACACGGACGCCCCCCCAGATTCCCTTCGGTACCCTTCATCCCACGGTAGTCACCGCGGGGCCAGTGCTTTCCTCTGACTGGCGTCAGTTGTCTGTTTCTCTCACGCGCGCCGACAGACAGCTTCTCTTGCTGTGATTTGGAAAGCCAGAAAGTGCACTCCCAGGTGTGGTGAGGGTACTGTACCCTATGGAAATGGGAGCTGCTGAGCCGGAACGCCCCACAGGCCTGGCCTCGGAGGGCCCTAGAAGCATCCGTGTTGCTCATGGCTCCTTGCTCTGTTTACAGTTTCTCCTTATTTCCGGACAAAGCTGCGCGGCCTGTACACAACTGCCAAGGCTGATGCAGAGGCCGAGTGCAAGTGAGTACCGTGCCTGCCCCGCACCCTTCCTTGCCTGCGTGCCCAGCCTGCCTGTCCTCCTGGGGAGGAGAGGCCTCCTGCGTGACCTGGGTGGTCACTTCAGCTGAGACTCAGTTGCCTCATCCTCAAAATAGGGATAATAACACCCTACAGCGTTGTGAACATAAATGGGGTAGTTCCTAGAAAGACCAGATGCCAGCTCTCTGCAGACTCTTCTGACCGTCCCTTTCGGTAAGGAATACACACTCAACTTCGGGTTCACTGTGCTCCTCCCACCACTCCCAGTACCTTTCATATTCACCTGGCTTGGTCCTCACAGTGCTCGTGAGGCACCTGGCAGTATTGCTGCTGTTGTATAGACAGTGAAACAGAGGTGTGAAGGATTACATAATCCACCCAAAGCCACCCATCTAGTAAATAGAGAAACCTGGTTTGTTTTTTTTTCCTTCTTGGGGATACTGAGGATTGAACTCAGGACCTTCACACTGAGCTACATACTCAGCCTTTTAAAAATTTTTATTTTTGAGACAGAGTCTTGCTAAGGCACCCAGGCTGGACTTGAACTTGAGATCCTCCTGCCTCAGCCTCCAAGAGTGCTGGGGTTATAGATGTATGCTGCCACACCTGGCTGGGAAGCCTGATTTTTAAGCCCAAAATTGATACTCTTAATACCCTGCTGGATGACATAACAATGGCTTCCACAGCACAGATTTGTTTTACATGAAATGTCACAGAATTAGAGCAAGAGTTTCAGTTATATAGAGTCTATTTTATAGTTTTATTTACTTTTTTTTTTTTGGTACTGGGAATCGAACTTGGGTCCTTGTGCTTGTGAGGCAGGCAGCGGAACCCCTGACTTAAATCCCTGGCCCTATTTATTTACTTTTTAATATAGGTTCCACACAAGAAGTTAATTTCCTGACTCTCCTGTAACTCACAACCTGCAGTTAATTTTTTTGTTTGTTTGTTTGGTATGGGGGATTGAACTTGGGACCTTGCGCTTTTGAGGCCGGTGACAGCCTGCAGTTTAAATAATTGCTCTGTGGGCCAGGGATTCAGCTCAGTGGTTTTGCCACCTGCTGCGAAAGTGCAAGGACCCAAGTTCGATCCCCGGTACCAGAATAAATAAATAATTGCTTTGTAGCTGGGCATGGTGGTGCCCACCTGTAATCCCAGCACTTGGGAGGCTGAGGCAGGAGGATCGCTGTGAGTTCAAGGCCAGCCTGGACCACATAGCAAGACCCTGTCTCAAACAAACAAATAATTGCTTTACACATTCAGGGCCCTGTGGAGTACCAGCCGTGGGACAGAGTAGCACTCTTAAGCACTACTGATGGCCCCAGCACACTTCCCCCCTCCTGTGTGGTGCTCCCATCCTCTGTCCTGGCTTCATGGCCCTCGGTTTTCTTTGCCTTCAGCAGCCATTCTGCAGGCCTTTGCTGTGCTCAACTGAGTCTAGTCCATCCATTAGCGACAGAGCTTTCTTCCAGGGTACAGTCCAGAGAGGAGACACCCTAAAGCACAGTTGCAGGACAGTTGCAGAGATGAAGGGTCTGGGATGGCCTTGGGGAGGAGGAGACTTGTGCTGGTCCGTGAGTTAGGATCAGTAGGCAGATGAGAGAGCTCTGGCAGCGGGACGGAGTACTGAGGCCCTGGCAGGAACTCCAGAACATGTGCATTTGGAGGAGCACCACCAGCCCTACGAGGCTGGGGAAGGAAGAGGGTGTGATTTGAGGGCCTTTTATGCTGTGGGTCTTACCCTGAGGCCATTAGGGGCCAATGCAGACTTAAAGTGGGAAAGAAAAATAATAGGCTGGATAGGGCTCAAGGCCAATTTCTGAGCTCAGATTAGGGGCCAGTGGGCAGGCGACATTTAAGATTCCCCGCTTTTGAACTCAGACAGGGGGTCTGGTGGGGTAGATAGACTGCAGGGAAGAGACACAATGAATTCTGCCTCGAGTTGCTGCCTTGAAACAGCTTCCTCTGGACTGCCCAGCTTCGCCTCCCCTCCTGTACAGAGTCAGGCCCTTCCCCTTGCCTGTGCTGGGGTGGCTGGTGTAAAGTTAGGGTGACTTCTGCTTTATCGTGTGCACACGTGTGTGTGTGCACGTTGCTGCAAATCCAGCCCACAGCCTCATGGGTGCTAGGCAAGCACTCTACACTGAGCTTACAGCCCCAGACCTTCGTTGGAGTGAAAAGCAAGCTTTTCCTTCCCAGCCTGACTGTCAGCAGAGCGAAAAGACTGGAAGAAGACTGGCTCAGGCAGTCTCTGGCGGTGACTTGCTCAGAGTTAGACACTTGTAAATCTGGTTGGTAAATGCAGAGCTCACCTCGCAGTCCTGCCACAGTTTTACTTTTTGAGACTCACACCTTCCCACGTCTGTTCCCTACACATTGAGCCAGGCCTTCTCAGTCAGTACTGTGTGCGAGAGAGCACAGACAAGGCAGGGGAGATGCCAGCTCCGCCGCTGTGAGGTTTCCTCCCAGGTGGGGAGATCCCATGCCCTGTGTGCTGATCAGGATGAAGATCTGATGCTCTAACAAGCTTTATAAAAACAGTGCTTCTTAAAAACAGAGACAGTCTTATACAAGTGTAGTGTAATTCTCAGAATCAGGGCATTCACTCATAAAAGTGAGCGAGGTGTGGAGACACATGCCTGAAACCTCAGCACTTGGGAGGCTGAGGCAGAAGGAGTGAGTCTCACTGGGAGATTTCGTGATGTAACAAGATTCTGTCTCAGTAAAAAATAAAAATGGCACAGGGTATAGCTCCACGTGAAGACACTGGGTTCAGTCTCCACGATTGAAAACACGAAAAACTTAGAGACTTTACTTATTTCCTAATTGCCTGCTAATGCCCTTCAGAAAACAAAGGGACAGGCTGTGCACTGCTGCAGGTCACCGCTGCATCAAGGTCCTGTCTGTGGTCTTCCTCAGTCTGGAAGAGTTCCCAGTCTGCTTTGGCCTTCCGTGACTTGATATTTTGAAGGTTATAGGTCAGTTTTCAGGATGTTTTGCCACGTGGGTGTGCCTGACATTTCCTCACTGCTAGATTCAGGCTTTACACTTTGGGCACAGCAGCGTGTGTGGAGCTGTCCCTGGTGTGCATCCAAAATGCTCTTTGTCCCAGTAGAGAAAGTGGTCTCTCCTGGCTTTCTCCAGTGTTGGCTTATTGCTGCTTTCCATTGTGTAAGCAGTATTTTGTTTTTTAATTCCCAGCACTGGGGATTGAATCTAGGGCCTTTGCACTGAGGTATGCCCCTACTTTTTCTTTTTCTTTTTCTTCTTGAGACAGGATTTCACTAAGTTGCCTGGGTTGGGTTTGAATTTGTGATCCTCTTGCCACCACCACCTTCTGGAGTGCTGGGATTACAGGTGTGTGCCATCAAGTTCAGTTTATAATCAAAATATATCTTGTAGGGAGATGCTTTGTGACTATGTAAATGTCCTGTTTCACATTAAGTCTATTTTAGCGTCCATTTACAATTCCTGCCTGAAACAATTGAAAAAAGTGTTTTTAAGTTCCCTAGGAGATTCTGGTGTCTGCTATGGGCCAGACTCACTCCTCTGAGACAGCATGAGCGCAGTCTGGACAAGCTGCATGAAAATTGTTCTTGGGCCAGGTGCAGTGGTACACACCTGTCATCTCTGCACTGGGGAGGCTGGGGCAGGAGGGAGAGCTCAGGCCAGCCTGGCCTACGCAGGGAGACCGTCTCAAAACAACCACAAAAACTATGCTCTCTGAAAAGCCTCAGCAGCAAGAACCAGCCTTTTCAGGGTTCCCTTTGGCCTCCTGGTCCACTCGTTCTGGGGTGCCTGATTGCTTGGCTGTTCGCTGCCGGCTTGGGGTGCCCGGTCCTTCCCTGGGTCTCGGCCTTGGCCTGGCAGGCTCCACAGGAGTCACGCCCTCTGGATGGCTGCAAGCTCACGTTCTGGATGAAGGCCTTTCTGTCACCAGGGCTCTGCTCTTATTGCTGCTCTGGGGATTAAGGCCAGGCCCTGATGCATTCTTGGCAAGTGCTCTTCCAGCCCTTTTTCATTTTTAGGTTGTTTGTTTTGGTCCAGGGGATCAAACTCAACCACCTTGTGCTTTCGAGGCAGGCAGAGGCAGGCACGGTGGCACTGAGCTAAATCCCAGGCCCCTTTCATTTTTAGTTTTGAAATGTCTCTCCATAAAATGTCCCCCCCCCAAAAATATTTAAATAAAATTTGTTAAAGGACACATTGCCACTAATCCCCCTCATAATACTCAGAATATCCCCCCCCCTTTTTGTTTTCTTTGAGACAGGGTCTCATTATATAGTTCAGATAGGTCTTAAACTTACTCTGTAGCCCAGGCTGGCCTTGAACTTGCAGTGATCCTCCTGCCTTAGCCTCCCAAGTGCTGGCGTTACAGACATGCACCACCACGCCCAGCCTGTTCCCCTCACTTCAAACACTTACCCATCATTCTTGGTAACATGTCTTCTCCTGGAACAGTTTTTTTTTTTAATTTACTATTAACTATATTTTTTTATCACACCCTGTATATTACCTAGGCTGGCTTTGAACTTTCCTTCCTTGCACCTCAGGCTCCCAAGAAGCTGGGGTAAGAGGCGAGCACCCCATATCCATCCCATGGGGACACTGAATAAAGCTTTGCTGGAGGAATGGACTGAGCTTTGCCATGGGAGGCAGTGGAGGTCCTGCTGCTGGTTGTGCTGAGTTGTCTGGGGAGGTGCCCCAGGATCTGGTATGAAGAAGCCTGCCTCCAGCAAAGCTTAGTGACAATGGCTGTGGGTTACTTGGGTCCCGGAACCCCGTATGCTGACTCGAACTGTTCCCGGGGCTGTGTCCATGCCAGGGTCTGTGTGCCTGCCATCTTGCAGGGATGAGTTCCCTGCCCTGTGCTTCTCTGAGCCAGGACCGTTGCCCAGGCTCCCAGGGTTTTCCTTTCACCTGTCCCGCCCAGAGCAGGCCTGGATGGTCACCTCTGACCTCACCTCCAAGAATGGTTAGGGCTGCCGAGCTGCAGCAGCATTTCTTCCAAGAATTTTTTTTTTCTTTTTCTTTTTTTTTTTTGGTACTGGGGATCGAACTCGGGTCCTTAAGCTTTTGAGGCAGGCGGCGGAACCACTGAGCTAAATCCCCGGCCCTGCAGCAGCATTTCTGCAAGACCAGGCATGCTCTGGCCAGAGGAGCGCTACCTGCCCCTCCTACCTCTCTAGGGTCCTGCTTTCTCTTAGGGTTTTTGGCCTGCTACTTCCTACTGTATTGCAGTTCATGCTTTTAGGATTGAAAAACGGAGCTGGGGTGTACCTCAGTGGTAGTTGCCTTGCCTAGCATGCATGAAACCTTGGGTTCAATCTCTAGTGCCACAAAACCTATAGCCATGAAAAGATAAAATATATATACACAGTGCTGCCAAAGGACGCATCATATCTGAGATGTGCATCCTTAGGCAATTTTATCCCTGTGCAAACGTCCCTGAGCATTTACACAAACTTAGATACTATAGGGCAGTGATGGCAAACCTTTTAGAGCTCTCAGTGATAACAAACAGCCAGCTGCAGCTCACGTGCCATAGGTTCTCCACCACTGCTATAGGGCATCATTCGGTGTGTGGCCTGCTGATGCAGTGAAGAGATGCTGTAAACAGGAGAGATGTGGTGTGTTTACAGGAAACCTAACCAGCAAAAGAATGGTAGTAGGGCTGGGGATTTAGCTCAGTAGTACCTCGCCAGCCTCAAGCACAAGGTCCTGAGTTCAATCCCTGGTACAAAAAAAAAAAATTATGGTAGTAAATACCAAACTCAGTAACAGTCACTTACTGTTGTTATCCAGTACACTCTACTGTATATAGCTGTATGCCCTGTACATTTTATAAGACTGGCAGTAGGTTTGTTTATACCAGCACTGCCTCAGACATGTACATTGCACAACATTAAAATGGCTATAAACCCCTAGACAATAAGAGTGTATGAGCTGCATCCTAATCTCATGGGCCACCACTGTATATGCAGCCCACATCATCTTTCCCGTCTTTGTGCAGTGAATAACTATACTTAGGGTCAGTAGCTTCCAGCTGTCGGGTTGGTCTCAGGACCCTTGCCAGCCATCAGCAGAAAAGGAAGCCCATGCCGTCTGCTTCACCCAATCTTTTCTGTCCCCTCCCCACCCTCAGCATCCTCAGGAAGGCCCTGGATAAGATCGCCGAGATCAAGTCTCTCTTGGAAGAGAGGAGGATTGGTGAGTGGGAGAGGGTGTGTAGGTGTTTCCTTAGTAGGCAAGTGAGGGCTTCAAGGGCAGCGGGCATGCTCCTAGAGGGGCCCTGTGATGTCTTCGGGCAGTCACCTCACATCTCACAGGCAGGGATTCCTTAGTTCACCTCCAAGACAGTGGGAATCCACCCCAGCCCTCATGTTTCTCTTAGTACTGTGACCCAGGCTGGTTCTGTCCCTCCTTCTGGTCACGTCCTTACACGTTTCTTGGTGTAGTAATAATGAGGGAATTTACTAAAGCCCCTGTGTGGAGCCCTGCATGCTCCAGCCAGCAGGAGTTTCCTCAGTGTGCTGACTTCAGAGCCCTTCAGTCGCCCTTGCTTTGACTTTCTTGCCTCTTGTGACAGTGGCTGACTGCCCCCGCATCAGCACTGTTTTGCCACTGTCATTGCCATTTGGGGTTTGTTTTTGTGGATAGGTGTGTTGTGCTGTGCCTGAGAGGCTGAGGGATAACACTGGATCCTTGGTTTCACAACTTGTGGTTGAATCTCAACATGTATTTGTAGAAAGATTCGGATAACTGTGTGGCTGCATGAAACCCTAAGTGACACAGCACGCTTACATGACTACCACCTAGATCAAGAAACAGAATGTGAGCCAGGTACAGAGGTTCAGACCTGTGGTCCCAGCTACTGAGAGGCGGAGACAGGAGGAACACAAGTTCTGGGCTAGCCTGGACAGCATTGTGAGACTCAGTATCAAAATAAAAATTTAAGGGGGGCTGGGGATTTAGCTCAGTGGCACCGTGCCTGCCTTGCAAGCACAAGGTCCTGAGTTCGATCCCCGGTACCAAAAATAAATAAGTAAAAATAAAAATTTAAAAGGCTTGAGGTACAGCTCAGGAGTAGTGTGCTTGCCTGGTGTATGTGATGCTCTGAGTTCATTCCCCAGAACTGGAAGGAAAAGCAGAGCTCAGTCATCACCCCAGAAGCCCCACTGGGGCACCTTTTCATTTCTTTGCCCCAGGGTGTCCACCGTTCTTTGTCTCACCAGCCTGGCAGTTCAGCTTGCCAGTCCCCAACCCTGGACATCTGGTGGAAGGGCAGGGACGGTCTGCCCAGAGTGGGGGCTCCCCACCGAGCTCTGCGGCTCTTGAGGGTGTTGGGTGGGCCTGGCACGCCTGGCGCCTCAGGGGCTCACTCCTCCCCACAGCGGCCAAGATCGCAGGCCTGTACAATGACTCGGAGCCCCCTCGGAAGACCATGCGGAGAGGGGTGCTCATGACGCTGCTGCAGCAGTCGGCCATGACCCTGCCCCTGTGGATTGGGAAGCCTGGTGACAAGTGAGGCAGGGCTGGCGAGGGAGGGGCCGGGGTGGAGGGGCCACACTGACACGCCTCCTACTCCCAGGCCCCCACCTCTCTGTGGGGCCATTCCAGCGTCAGGGGACTACGTGGCCAAACCTGGGGACAAGGTTGCTGCACGGGTGAAGGCCGTGGATGGGGACGAGCAGTGGATCCTGGCTGAGGTGGTCAGTTACAGCCACGCCACCAACAAGTGAGTGGGCACCTCCCTACCCCACTGCCCGCATGCCGTCCTCGCTACACATTCATCTGCCACTTTTCCACCTGTCTGCAAACAGGACAACCTGCCCACAGTGTGCCCTGTGGTGGTAGCATGTGATATACCCCGATCCCTGCCCAGTTCCTTCCCCATGTCCTCCTTCCTCCCTGCCTGGGCCTGTGAGCCTAATGGCATCCACGGCTTTCCTTCTGTCACCACAGGTATGAAGTAGATGACATCGATGAAGAAGGCAAAGAGTGAGTGTCCCTGTGGGGGTAGGGCTCTGGAAGGTGTCTCCCCAGCCGTGGGCTGACACAGTCCCCCCCAGGAGACACACCCTCAGCCGCCGGCGGATCATCCCGCTGCCCCAGTGGAAGGCCAACCCTGAGACAGACCCAGAGGCCTTGTTTCAGAAGGAGCAGCTTGTGCTGGCCCTGTATCCACAGACCACCTGCTTCTACCGGGCCCTGATCCACACGCCCCCGCAGCGGGTAAGATAGCTTCGAGCAGAGGCCTTGCAGGACCTCCTGGGCCTAGACAGGTCATGGTGATGTCTTCCTGTGTCCCTCTCTGCTTCTCTTCCTTCAGTGCCAGGAGTTCCCCCTCTACCCCGTATCTGTGTCTGTCCTGGGAGCCTTAGCTAGCCGTGACTGGGAGGCCTGCTGTGCCTCCTGTCACACTTCATTTTGGCAGCCTGAGGTGGATGCATGTCTCTAGAGCTCCAGCTTCCTGCTTTTCTGACATTACCTGGGTCCTGTGTTACCAGGTGCAGCCTGGAGCTGGTTTCTGTGTCCTTCCAGGGGGCTGGTCTTCTGGCTTGTCCTTGATCCCGTTAACAAAGGGCTCCTGAACACAGCAGACCCCTGCCGTTGTGGCCCGAGTCTGGCTAGGGGAGTCCCCTTCTTGCTCTTTATCCCTTGCCCTTCACCCACGAGCATTCCGCATTCCGAGCCTCCTGACCCTGGAGTGGAAGGTAAGGACAGGATAAGCTAGGAGCAAGTAGCCGATGGCTCCTCTGCTAGCCTAGGGCTTGGGAGCTGGGTGAGCCTAGCCTGGGAGGGTCTGAGCAGCCCGTCCTCCCTCCTGCAGCCCCAGGATGACTACTCCGTCCTGTTTGAAGACACCTCCTATGCGGATGGCTACTCCCCTCCTCTCAACGTGGCCCAGAGGTACGTTGTGGCTTGTAAGGAGCCGAAGAAAAAGTGAAGAAGGCTGGCAGACACAGTCGACTGCTGCCGTAAATCCTCCTGGGAGAAGGCAACAGGATTTTCTGTGAGCAAATAAATACTGGTCCCTCTCCCTCATGTCTCCTGGGCCTCACTCCCCACATCTCCCCACCGAAGCGGCAGGTGGTGGAGTAGAGGCCACTGTGGGAGAGGCCGTGTCTGGGCCCAGGGGGACTGGCTGTCAGCTCAGGTTTTCTCTGCTTGCAACACAGGCCTGCGTGGGCACATTGAACTTTATTCCTGAGGTCAGGGTCAGGCTGCTGGACACCCCCCTTGCATGGAGAGGCCTCCAGCAGGGGAGAGCCTGGTCACAGGGATGGGGCCGTGGCTCTTCTTGTTCTTCACCCAGGTCTCTACACAAACACAAGTTTTCTTAACCCAGATGTTTTAATGTGTTCAAGTAAAACCTTTCCAGACTGTGGAGGCCAGAGACAGAAAGTAGCAGTGGGCTGAGTTGGTACACTAAGGGTCAGGTCTCCAGCAGGTCTGCCCAGTATCTGTTGAGACAAGAAGGCTGATCAAAGGCAGCTTAGGGATGGCGAGGAAAGTGAGGGAGCCAAGCCCATCTCACTTCTAATTCAGAGTCCTGGTCTTTCTCATCGGCACCATTAGGCACAGCCAGATCAGATCTTCCCAGGGCACTGAGCTCTTCCAGCTGCTAGGGTGCGTTTGGGTGGAGATGATGGAGCCAGGCATCCCAAGCTCCCTGTGGCCATGGCCCAGGGTGCATGACAAAGACGCAGCTGCTCTGGTGTGCAGTGAAAACTCCTCCGAACTCCAGCCAGACAACTCTTGTCTTGTGCACAGCCTGTCTCCCATTAAATGTTCAGTGGGCCCTGGTTCTCCCCCCCGCCAAGTGCTAGGCTTCGCGCCAGACGCACAGCGAGGTCACCCATCACTGCAGCTGCGCGGTGCATGGGGCCTGAGCACACACTTCCACGGAGCCTTCTTGCTTCTGGCCCTGCCTTCACTGTTTGTCAGTGCTGCAGAGCCAGCAGCTCAGCAGAGGCTTGGCCCCTTCCACAGTGCTGCAGCACAAGGCCTCCACCACTCGGTTCATGAGCCTGAGGAAACCCACTGTCCGTGTTGGGCTTACCTGAGTAGTTCTTTGGATTGTTGGCTTGCTCTCAATTCAGAGGCAGATGTTTATTCTCCAGAAAATTTATGAAACATGTGGCACCCAACATAGGGCCCAACATCCAAAGACAACTCAGGGAAGAGTACCTTGTGGAGAAACCCCAGTGCGGACCTCTTCTAGATGGGATGGGGTGGTGTACCTCCTGAGTGAGTGTGGTCCACCGTGTTGGTACATGGATGCCCCCCAAATTCCTGATGGCTCAGAGCAACTTCTGCAGTCCCCGAGGTCAGCCTCAGGGTACAGGAGAGCTGAGGCTGCTGCGGTTGGCCCTCCACGGCTGGTCCGGGTAGGGTGCTGAGGCTCAGCCCAGGGGAGATCTTGGGATGGACAGCTCTCTCCACCTGGGAAGGGTAATGACTAGGGCGGATATCTCCAAGCCACCCTGTGAGTATGGAGAGACTTGAAAGATTGGGGGGAAATACTGACATTTGTTGCTGAGCAACATGATTTCAAGGCAAGAGAGCTTTGTCAGATCAGAGCAGCCGTGATGGGGCTCCTCCTCATGGAGCAGCAGAGGCTGAGCCCCGAGATCAAGCCTGTGGCCGGCAAGTACAGCAGGAAGAGAACTGGGATCTTGTACAGGTGCTGGTGTTGGGGGTAATGCCCAAAACATCTCAAGGCGTGGAATTGGGAACCCAGTCCCCGAAGGGTGAGAGGGCCTGGCATAGTCCTAAAGTTCTGGGACTCCTATGGTTGAGAAAGACACACATGATGTCTGTAAAGGACATTGAAAAGATTTGGTAGCAGCCTATGCCAGTGAAAATAAAGTAACTACAGGCATTCTTAGGCCTCAAGGGGTACTGGCATGTCTTCATAGCACACTTTGCTCAAGTTGCTTGGCCTCTGTATCACTAGATGAAAAGAGGGACCATATGGGATTGAAACAAGGGCTCAAGAGGCTTTTGAGCAAGCTAAGACATTTGTGGGGCATGCTGGTTATGTACCCCAGTGTCCCGGTGTCCACTTGCTGTGGAGGATACGGGGGGTCCCAAGGGTTACAGCTTGTTGCTGTGGCAGAACCAACATGGACAGACTCCAGTAGGGTTCTGGTCCCAATATGGAACGGGCAGGAGCCAGGGCACTGAATAGTAGTTGCTGGCCATATAGAAAGCCGATCACCACATGGGCTGCAGTGACAGTAAAAACAGCGTGTTCAATAAAGGGCTGGATTGAAGGCCTTTTGGCCAAATCTATTTCTGGGGTGGGACAAAATGAGACTCCACGAAAGTGGCATGCGTACTTTAGTGGTATGGAGTCCTATCTGTGAGGCCTGTGGTGACAAGTACGATGCAGACGGTGCTGGAATGGATACTGCCCATCCCCGAAGATGCTTGGTGCACTGTGACTCTAGGCAGGCACAAAGCGGGAATATGCGGCAGGACAGATACCCTCTGGCGCACACAGTCAGTGGGCTGCGTTAAGAGCAGCACGGATGCTGGTGAACATGAGAAGGAGCCACTAAATATCTGCACGGATAGCTGGGAGGTCTGTGATGGCACGAAGGGAAAGGAGCACCACTGGCAGGTGATGGTGGAGACTGGAAGAGGACAGATGAGTCAGAGCCACTAGCAGTCTTTCATGTGGCTGTGCACAACCTAAGGCCCCCAGTAAGCAAGAGGCTAATGGTCTCAGAGCTCCAAGCTGTTTGTCCCCGACACCTGAAGAAATGACTTGGATGAATGAGACTCGGCACCAGAGGCCACCATGGACTGGAGGACAGCAGAAGCTACAGGCATGCCCAGACAGTATTCGGGCATTTTACATGCTGCCTGGCTGCGAAGCCAGCTGTGTTCTACGGCCTCAAAGGATGGACACATTAGGTAGATGCAGAAGCCAGTATCCCAGGTAGAGACGGCAGGAGGATTATGTCAGCTTGTGCCTGTGAGTCACTCACCTGTGTGCATACTGCACAGGGCTTGTGCAGGCCTTGCCCTAAACCCAGCCCCTGGGGAAGCCACCACTGAGGGTTTAGCTCTGCTGTGTGTGGGTGCCCAGGGCACTGACAGTGACAAGGGCACTCATTTCCCCAGCACTCATGTGCAGAGTTGGTCTGAGGACCATCAAGTACCATGATACCTTCACCTGCATTACAGTCCCACAGGGGCTGGCTTGAGTAAAAAGAAAAACAGGTAGTTGAACAAAAGTGAAAAGGGTTAAAGGGAGTCACCCTGTGGTGGGGGGGGAATTCTCCCAGAAGCCGTAAAGTTGCTGAATGGAAATCCCAGTGCCAGGGTGGCTGCCTGTCTATGGATTGTTGGGTCCTGTGGTCTCCCACAGCACAGAGGCTATTGACACCACTGTTGGCTGCACACCAGAACTGGACAGTCTACTACTGAAGACATGCGTTGGCTGCAGGGCCTGGAGAGGTCAAGCTGGGACTGCACCAGGACCTCCCTCTCTAGCGTTCATAGTGCCAGAGGGAAGTCTGCGTGCTGCCGGGGAGAAATGTCACCAACAGTCCTGCTTGGCTGTAGGCCTCGTGTGTCACACTGCCAGCATGCTGGCAGGATATCCCTGCAGGTGCAACAGAGGCCTGACTCCTTTGTGAGCAAACAACACATTTCCCATTGACCATGAGCGTCCTCCAAGGGAAGAAACCCGTATTCAATACTGCAAGCCAGGACAAAAATCCATGGTTGAAGTTGGAGAACCCTATGGGGAAGCCATGGCTCATGTTAAGTGGATGTGATGTTTGAATACCTCCCCAAAAAATGTCTGCACACCTGCCATTCCTGGCCACAGCCAAGAGGAAGCTCCTCTTACCGTGGGCAGTGTCCAGGGCGACCTGGGTATGTGGCTAAGCTCTGCTCTCCAGTCACGTGGGCATGGCCTGGCATATGTTGCCCTTGTCCTCCAGAACTGGAGTGACTTAGGGAACACACATCCCAGTAGTCCTGGTCCTGAGAGAAGCCTTAACAGCTGAGAAAAACATGTACACAAATCCTGAACCATGCAGTGTTGTGGGACGCGGTGACCCAAATGGTACTTAAACATGTACACGTGTACACTTACGCCCCCTTCTGTCTTAAAAGGAGTAATAAACTGGTCCTTCTCTCTGTGAACATAAAGGATGGTTGCCCCTGAACACTGTGTATGTGCCATACAGATGGGAAATACAAAATGGGCTGAGGAACAGAGTGCTCCTACTGCTGTGGGGCATATTAAGCCCTCCAGACACAGGGCTGGTGGCGGTCTTACTTGGGCCGTACTGGCCTTGTGACTGGACTGGCAAGTACACTGGGTGACGCTGTCTGCCAGGCCACGTTAATCACCTCGCCCACTAGTTCCAGACTTCCAGCACTGAGGGCCCACTCTCACCAGGGAGTGGCACAGTGCAACATCCCATCACCCTTTCTGTCCCTCAGGCAGAGGTACTAGACAAGAGTTCATGTACAGGCTGTTGCCAGTTTTACTGCCGAACTTCAAAATTATACACGAGGGTACCTTCTGTTCAAACAGGGAAAGGCACTGATGCAAACAGAATTGCAAAACCCAGTGGCTTTGGGCATGCTGACTGAGCCCAGAGAGGCACCTGCGCCCTCCTGGCCTGATCTGTGCTTAACTGCAGATAATAAGGCCAACACAACTGATAATATAAACACCAAAAGGTGATGCCTTCACATACAGGCTAGACTCTGCCTGGTTATTGGAGACGTGTTCTCTTCATGAGTGGTTTTTGTTTGTTTTGGGGATACCAGGGATCAAACTCATGACCTTGCACTTGTAAGGCAGACGCAGTACCACTGAGCTACATCCCCAGCCTGAGACCCGGTCTCTTGACTGTTTGTGTCATTCTCGGAGTAAGCACTTACTGCTGCAGCCCATAGCATCTTGTGGCCCAGTGCTCAGCACTTGGTCAGAGGTAGGCTCAAGGGACATCACAGAAGAGGCATGAAAAGATTCTAAGAACAGAAGGAAGGAGTGGAGTGTGGTGAGAGTATTTCTCCAAACCCTAACTGAAGTAACTCCATCTTGTGGTGCGTGCCCCATGCACCCATAGCTCTCTCCCGACCACCAGGTGCTGAGGCTCTGTGAGGTCGTGTGTGTGCCAGACTGCAGTGTGATGTGGTCACACGTCCTTGTGGCTGAAGAGGCCTCGCTGAGCCTGGTGGAATCTCCTCAGAAGGATGGGCTGGGCACAGAGTACACATAACCTTTCCCAAGGACCTTCCTTGCTTTTAATCCTGCTTTTGCTGCTTTAGTGCTCTACAGAACCAGTAGCCTAACACAGAGTTGCCTTTTTGGCGACCATCCACCGCACTTTTAAGTCCTGAACAGTGTATTACTTGCTAAGCCTGACTTGTCTAAGTTGTTCTTTGGTCTGTAGGTACCTTGAGCTTGGAGGCATATAGTTCTTTTAAGTCTCTCTAAACATTTACCTCACACCAGGCCTGGACTGAACCACTGCCACTTCCAGAGCTAGGTCAGGTTGGAGGAAGAGGGACCAGACTCACTGTGACTGTTAATTCTGATATGTCAACTTCATTGGATTAAGAAAGACCTAGCAGACTAGTAAAGCATGCCCCTAGGTGTGCCTGGGTGGGTTGTGGAGCTGGGACCTTGTTTGTTACATAGGGTACTCAGTGGTTTCTCTCTGGGGCTTTTCTCCTGCTCTGCTTCATGGCCCCATGAGCTAAGTAGCTTTGCTCCATCACACCCTCCTCCCATGAGTTTTCTGCCTTAGAATCAGCAAACCATGGACTAAATCTGAAACCATGCACTAAGCTAAACCTTTCCTTCTTAAAGTAGTGGGTTTTGGATATTTTGTCTTAGTGATAAGAAAGCTGCATAATACTCACCTAGGACACTGGCCCTCTAGGACCACAAGCTGCCCTGGCTCTAGCTGGAGGGACTCCACTGCCAGGCAGGTCACAGGGGGCAACACAGGGCCCTCTTCATCGTGTCAAAGGGTCAACCAGGGAAGGAATACAGGGAGTCACTTGTATTTACTCAAGAGTTCAGTAATACTTAAATGGCCTCGCCCCTGATGTGGTAGAGATGTGGAAGTAATCTGTGTCCATCATTAACTTCCCTGACCTTCCCAAATTGCAGTTAAGGGCAGTAAACAAACCTCATACTTCTGAAGATTCTTTGGTTTTGACCTAGCTGTCAATCAGCTTGTGATACCCCGCCCTCTCATTTGACTCACTAACATGACAGATGGTGGCTGTCCTGGCCTCCTGGCACCTACTTTAATCAGTCACAAAGACCAGAGGAATATTAGGCCCTAACTGGTCTCCTCTGTGAGCTCAAAGGAGAAAGGCTGCACTCAAGGGCAGTTGCATATTGGGAAAAGTTAAGACAGCTTACGTTATTTACCAGAAAATGTACTAATGGATATTGGAAAGCAGACAAATCTGGTGTTACTTTGATTGCTTGTGCCCATGTTTGGGTGAATAAAAGCAAGATGAGCCAAAGGCTCAGGGCTTCTCTGCCTACTAGAGGCACAAGCCACCTGGCTACCTGCATGTTAAGCTGACTCCATGTCTCTGTCATTCACCCCCAGGTTAGGGAGGAACAAAGTAGTGGCTAGAAGTAGTGCCCCAGTGTGGGGCTTGAGACCTGGGTCACCAACAGTCGGCAACCCAGAACAGGGACCTGAGCTTGGAGTCAACTACAACAGTCATGCGCTTGGATGATGAGAAGGCCTGAATTTGAACCAATCATAGACTTACACCTGGATCAATCAGAGGGGCCTACAGCTGCTATGTATAAGCAGCATTCCTCTCACACTTTTTGTGTTAGTCTAGGAGAGCGGCCTCTAGTATACTGACCACCTGTGCTGCTCTGCACAGGTCCTGTTAAGACATGCCCCAGCAGTCCTGTAAATCTGCTTGCAATTTATTTCTTGGGAGCCCTGGCTGGGCAAATCTTGTAAATCTACTCAGGATTCTTATCCTGAGTAGACAGAATAGTTGCTTTGTTTGGGGGGGTTTTGGGGGGGTTTTTTGTTGTTGTTTTTTGAGACAGGGTCTCACCGTATAGTTTAGGCTGGGCTTGAACTCACTATGTGCCGCGGACCAGCCGCATTTGATGTAGGGTAGGAAGGGGAGATGTCCTGGGCCGGCGATGGGAAAAGAACCTTCACAAGCAATGTTTAGGTTTCCTCTGAGAAGTCTCAGGGTCTGATTTATTTTTATATCTTTAAGCAATAGCAAAGAGGCATTGGGCGGAACATGTCGCCTTAGCAATATCTGATGAGGTAAAGGTTATTTTTGTTAAACAGTATATTTTTTCTAAGCTGACTCATATCATTGAATATCATGAATACATTTCTTAAAAATTACAATTGTTCCCTCATTGTCCCGTACCTAAGCAAAACAGTTCCCTCATTGTCCCATACCTAAGCAGAACAGAAAGTAACTTAATCAAATTAAATGTCAAACTTGTGGTCACCAGCTAGCCCTTGAGAAACTGCACAATGGTTAATATAGTTTGCTATTAGCTCTATTCATCTTAACTAAATGTCATTTGGGTTCACAGTACATGAGCAGGAGATATTTACAGCACTTTGAGAAATATTGAGTAATTTGCCTCCTTAATGTATTTACCTGTCTTAACGTTCTTTTTATTTCCCATTCCCCACTATTTCTTACATCTAAAGTCTGTCCTTTCAATCTCTTTATAAGACCCCTTTAGTAAAAAGAATGACAGCAATAAGAGAGGGAGTAATAGTAGTGGGAAAACAGCGGGGGATTTAAGAGAGGTTTCTTTAGGAGTGGATGTGGCAATAGAACTAAGAGAAACTGGAATTTGAGACTTTTGAGCCAGATCAAATTTCAATATATCATTGCCAATTAGCCTCATGGAGAGTTTGTTGTTAATCACAAACACAATGACTCCTGTGACCAGAGGAACAATTATAAACATTATGGCAAGAAAAAAAAATAAAATATGAGGGTACGATGTGTTCCACCCTTTCTTTCCCCCAGCTGGAACTTTGTCAAGCAGCATTGGAGGTCAGTTGGGCTTCGCCATCTCACCCTTTTTTATTTTTTATTTTTTAATTTGGCGACGTGGAGTTTAAGTTGGATATTTTTGAGGGCTCGAATTAATTGTCTGAAGATGACTGGAAGACAAAATAGGAGGATTAATATGACTAAAGTGGTGATTCCCAAATTGACAAGGAAAAAAAAGGCTTTTGTTGAAATAGAGGAGGAGAGGGAAGACAGGAAAGAGCTAGCTATTACTTCTGCTGAAGAGGTTTGTAGTTGTGCCTAATAGCATTAACTTGTGAATGTAAATGTTGTAAATCTATAGACAGGGGAGTATTTCTCCATACTCCTTTTAAATAGGCCTGTACTTGTCCCTATGTCATATGACTATCATTATAGGGTAATGGTGTAACACAGATCCAACGGAAACCAGAATGGCAGGCAGCAGCTGTACGAACTTTAATAGCCTGTAGCTGGTTTCCTATATAAAACACTGCTTCTTCTAAAGCATTTATCCTGGATTCTAACTTTTTATCAATAATTTCTTGGGTGGCCAATGCTAGAGAAACATTTTTTGTCAGATTGTTAACATGATGTGTAGTATGAATTTTTTTTACCAGGGCAGTCGTGGAGACAGCAAGTGAAGTTATGATGCTTATTAAGTCAGTGGTGTCAAGAATAAGAGCTGTGACAAATCGTTTTGGGCGTGAAAGAGCATCTACAATTAATTGAAGAGGCTGTAGGCCTGGATTATCATACCATTGTCCTGTAACATTTACTGGAAGCATAACATAAGGTGGTTGTTTCACCAAGAGGAATGTCTGTTGTCCAAAGGACGAATTAAGGCAATTAGTTAACACACGATTATCACATTGAATATCATAAGTAGAGTGATTAGTAACAGAAATTGACATAAAACCTGTTTTACCAGTAATTAGAATAGTGTAAGGGGAGAGTACACAGGCCTGTAAGGTTATTAGGGAAGTATTTTTTGTACTTGGTCTATAAAAAGTAAATAAAGCAAACAGACGATATAAGTCTGTCTGTATCTTACTTGTGGTTGTTAAGGTATATATGGGGGCCACCCATCCAGGAGAAAACCAACGCTTTACAGGTCCAGTTAAGGGTAAATTGGAGCTTGACCAAGAATATGTGGAGGAATTTCTTTTAATATAATTAGTATAATCATAGTTGGGACTTAACACGGACCAATCATATAAACTTTGATTAGAGAATGGTAACGGGTGAGAAATTTTGAAGGTGATAAAACCGCAGGAAAACCACATGGGGAAACCATGGCGCCTGTCAATATTTTTCCAAATATATTCTGCATTAAATGCTGATTGACAAGGGGAGATAAGACTAGGCATAAAGCTGGTGTGTTTTGAAAACTGGGTTAAATTTTCAGGTAGCTGTAACGAGAGGGACCATAAATCTCATTTGTTTTTTTTTCAGCAGGGGAGTCAGCATACATATCATTATAATATAGAGGGATACATCCAGGAAGGGAAGTTTGGATAGTGGTAGCACAAATAGGTATGTCATCAGCATGACCTGTATAGTTAAAATGATGAGTATATTTGAGGGAGATAAAGGAATTATCTTCTCCTCCCATAAGTTG